TGCTTCTTTGATTGTCTTTTTTTCCTCAATAATTTTAACTGCCAGCAAAGTGTCATTCCTCTGGGATATCTTCTCAAGCTAGTTAAGCTCAGCACCACAGTTGGTTGGATTGGTTGTTCTTAATTTTTATTATTAATTTTGGTGATTTCGAATTCTCTTTTTATTGCTCTTCTATTTAATCTCTACCTCGTCACTGTCCTGGTCATGGTTTACTATTTATAGTTGTAGTACTGTGGAAGACTTGGGAAGAATTGAGAGTTTGACTGGGAGAACAGTAGTCAAGAGGAGCTGCAACCCAAAGCTTGTGAAGGCCAGTCTGAATGAGCAATCAGACAGGAATAGCACCCCACAGCATCCCCAGTACATCTTGCTAGTGCACTTGCTGGTTTAGCTGAATGGCTGCTGGGCATATCCACCTGGCTGAAGAACTTGCATGGCAGAGAGAATGGATGTGTGTGAGCTATAGTCCAAGGCAGGGAATAAAAATAGGTGAGAAGTGCTGGGCTCAGCACTACAGCATGGCAGCAATAATTTCTGTGTATTTCTGGTAATAGATCTTGGAGGAAATTCTCTGTCCTTTAATGATGAACAAAATATTTCCTTCTTCCTATTTGCAACTAACTCATAATCATGTTAGCCACCTTTGGACCTTGTTACGTGTTCCAAAGATGTGGATTGTGTCTGTAGCCATTGCCAATTCCTGTCATTTCTATTGCAACATCAAAGTATCCTGTCAGGAAATGACACGAATCATGAAATGGCCTGGGTTGAAAAGGACCACAGCGATCATCTACTTTCAACCCTCCTGCCGTGGGCAGGGTCACCAACCACTAGAGCAGCCTGCCGAGAGCAGAGAAGAGCAATACTATCTTTGGCTGCTTTTTATCATATTGAATCAATAAAACAGAGGGGTTTTTGTTTGTTTGTTTGTTTTCCAGATTAGCTTTTTGTGATCATAAAACAAGCTCTTTTGCGGTTAGTGAGACGTTCTGGTACTTAGGTGCTTAGTCTCCCCTCTCCAACCGGTGACCACACAGATCCTCAGGAGTGGGTAAGGGTGACCTGCAAGTGATGATTAGAATAGGGAATCTGAATGTAGGAAGAAAGGCAAACTTAAGTCAGATGTAAATTACTTTTGAACATGAGTGTAGGTGCCATTTACTCAGAACGCTTGAGCATCACATAGAGTCATTCACTGAATTTTGGACATGGTCTGAAAACAGTGGAGTCTGGAGAGATCTGGACCCAAGTCTCCTGGTTAAAGATTTCAGCTTAGAATCAATATTTTCAAAACTTCCATCAAAAAGCATTTCAGCTTTGCCCTGGTCAGGCAAGTCTGCAGAATATTGGGATATGTTTTGTTTCTGTGTTGCATTTATCTCCCAGCAGGGTAAACAGTGTTTGTGCCAATTAGTGGTCATCACAGCCACTGAAGTGATTTCAGTTCTGTGTTTTGCAGAAATCGACATTGACAGGGATACTCGTTTAGCTTACTGAGTTTTACTGAGGCTATTTTGGGACTGTGTCAGCCACATACATCTGAGCAAAATGATTTTCTCACTAGATTGTTTTCAATTAAGCAGTTCTGTCTCTAATGGATTGTGGGCAATGTAGCGTAATTCTGGTTTGAATGAGCAGACACCCAACTGAGTGACTTATTGCTACATAGATCTCTAGCTTTATATGTATTCTTGACTGTATAATCAGCATGCATGTGCACTAAAGAGAGGTTTGCTTCTTCTTTACCTTGTTCTCAAGCCTCTTGCCTAAGCTCTCTCCCATCTGCCTAGCAAATGATTTAAAGTGCTGCATTTTCCCTGGACTCCACAGCCTTGCTTTCCTAGGCTCTTCCCAGTGGTACCCAGCAGCACTGGGCACAACCTGGAGCACAGGGTTCCCTCTGCCCATCAGACAGCACTGCCGTGCGGTGCCAGAACCCTGGCACAGGCTGCCCAGAGGCTGTGGGGTGTCCTCCTTGGAGCTCTCCCAAAGCTGCCTGCCCATGGGGATGGTCCCTGCTCTGCAAGGCTCTGCCGGGGCAGTGCTGGGGCTGTGGGACCCCAAGGTGCCTCCAGCCTCAGCCACACTGTGATCCTGTGTATCAGGGGAGACCAGAGTGAATGTATGTGGAGGAAAAAAATCTTAAAATACAAATAGGCTGCTGTAGCTGGTGCTCTCATAGCCTGAACCATTCACGTTGAATGTGACTCTCTAGAGGAAAAAGAAAACCTATGCACCACTCTTCCTGCTGAGATTAGCTGTAGTTTTCTCCTCCAGAGGCAGAGCTGTGTTTGAAACCTGCCACCAGCTTCTCTTCAGGCTATTGTTTTGTTGACATCACATGAATCCATTTATTAAATCCTCAAGTGTCCCACCAAGGATGCATTTCACTGAGGTTTGAGACCTTCCTTGCACACAAAATTGTCTTAAGGATAGTTTCACTGCAGCTTTTTGAAGGAGAGCATTCTTTAGCCAGGGAATAATGGGGAAAGTTTTGGGATGTCTGTTGGTACTGAAGGCTGCCTCTTGGCCCAACTGAATATTGAGAATGGTAACAGGTTTTACTGTTTATTTTTTTTTTTTAGCACTTTGCTTGTAAACCCCATTTTTCTCTACATAATAGCAGAAGTCTCAGAGGGAAAAGGCAAGGAAAATTACAACAGTTTCCTGTTAGAAATCTAAGATTACCTAAAATAATTCAATCACAAAATGCATTATGGTTATGAGTCTTTTAAAGGAATGTTTTGTATCTCTTGAATTTCTAGTATAGTCAAAATTCCCATCTTCAGCTGCTCCTTCTGCTCTTGCTGGCTCGCTCTGCGATTATGGCAAGACACTCAATCAAAATTTAAAGAGAGGAAACTTAAGGAAACAGCCCATGCTTGCTGATGGTGAGGAGAAAGGAAATGCTTTGCAGGGTGCCTCTTGTCTGATGGACAAAGGGACAGTGAGTTGCACTTGTAATGCTGTACTGCAATAAACCACAAAGCCATCGCTCGATCTGTACCATAAGTATACAGATAACATTTCAAAAAGCAGATGAGCCAAACTTTTTTTATTTTTTTAAATGCCCCAAATAAAATGCTGCAGCTTGATTTGCTGCAACCCTTTGCCCACACCTTCCTGTCCTGCAGCTCTGTAACCCTATTTCTAAGAATATACCCCTTCCATCTTCTCCAGGTGCCACTCATAATGCCAGCACTTCACAAGCTTTGTGCATAATGCAGCCTGGCTTCCCTCTGAGATCATGTGATGTTTTGGGCCATTTGGATTATAGGAAGCATCAGCCATAGCACATTCACTTCCAGCATGCGGCTCTTTGGGTTTGTGCCGTGCACCTCCAGGGAAGGATCCAGCCCTTCCCGCAGCACGGTTGCATCAGGCAGGTTGCCCCAGAGCTGCAGCAGCTAAGACTCTGGCACTGTCCTCTGAGAAAATGTGTTAAACTGCATCTGGAGTTTTGCAACACTGGTTCTTCCTCTTCAACCTGACGCTTCCCGGGAGGGAAATGCGGGGGGTTTCTTGAGACCTCTCATTTATCCATCATGATGACAGGTTTCGTAAATCAGAAGTAAGTTTGCTATAACCCATTTACAAGCTTGCTAGTAGCAAAACAGAAACTGAAATTACACATGTAGCTCTCCTAATATAAGAGCATTGAGGTTATTTTCTTTTAATTAGAGGGCTGACAAGAACGAAATCCATTGACTCAAAAGATCTTTGATAATTTAGTGTCTCTAATACGAAGAAATAATAATAATAAAAAAAATCTTTGAGTATTCTTAACCTTGCCACTGAGGTAACACCTGATAAAACCCTGTGTTGGTCTAAACCAATATTATGACTAAACAGTGAGATGCTAGAAAAAGACAGCTTCTTTACTGGAAACTCTTCATCCAAGGGCTATTTCTGCTGCAGAGGCTCCAAGCGGCTGCTGCACAATAAGACGTGATTATCTGAAAGTTGTACCTTGGGGTAAAAGGAAGACTATTGATTTTCATTTTGAAGAGTTACTGAAAACCAGGAGGAGAGGGAACAAGGGATTGTTAAGTTCCAGGTAAAGTAACGCAGAGATAATGACGACAGCAAGTGGATGGGCAGCCAAAATGTCTGGGTGCCTTTAAAGCTGTATAATTCTGTACCAGCAAACTTCGGGGAAACGGGCAGGTTTGTTTTCCAGGAAGAGGTAATAATGTAGAAACCTCTTTCTTGTGGCTTTCTTTAATCACATGGAAGGGTGGTGTTAAAAGCCAAGCGCGCACACAGAGACGCTGTCTTTGAACTACAAAAGCACAACACATCCCAGGCTCGGCTCGCTGAGCGGGTGCTTTACTGAAAGTTACAGTCATCTCTGTGTTGAGCTGACCTCCTGTATCTCTTCTGAAACAACTGCTTAGCAGCATTGGCTGTTACAGCACTGTCAGCATGGAGAGAGGGTGTTGCATAGAAGTGCCGTGTTGCATGTTTCCATTCAAGCTGTGAAATCCAATTAAAATATTTTCACAAGCTGATCAGTCACTTATCCAGAGCTTTGCTGGGAACGTTTTGCTGTTGTATGGTAGTGTCCTATTTCATGTCAGTTGGTCACTTGTTGGTCACTGCCCGCTTTCTCATACAGATTGTGCTATGACTTTTTGCACACATATGGGCATAAATAAATCTCTGCCTTATGTCCCTTTTGTGTGTCCTAGGAGAGCTGAAGTTTTTGCTGCTCTGGGTGCAGCACCCTTAGAAAGCATAGACATAACAGGTCCTGCTAAAAACAGACCATAGAGATGCATGTACGAGGCTAGTAAGGATCTTTGTGTCAAAGATGTGTGTCATTACACAGTGGGAAAGAGAATTTACCTTTTCCCAGCCATACAAAATTTTATTTGGTTGCATTGGGATGAAGCAAGGCCATCTTGTGAGAATGCAGTTGTTTAGCTGAGTCAGATCTAGCAGCATAATTGTAGCCCCTTTTTCCCCTTCGTTAAATCTATGCTATCTTCTTCACCCAGCAGGAGTTACCACAGCACAGCAGAAGCATCAGCCCTCTCCTCCCTGCTGCTCCCATGCCTGAGGAAAACATTCCCTGTTGAGATGCTCACTGCTGCTCTCGGCTTGCTCTTGGAGACACACCGACCTCTGATATGATCCAAAGGTAAAATTGTAAGAAATTATTATAAAAAGCAAGGTGGAAGGGTTTAATAGCTCCTATGCAAGAAAATAAGTGTGCACTGGCCTTAAGGCTGCTCCTCTGTTCAGGGAATTACTAACAGGCAGATTGCAACAATCACCTTCGTTCTCTAGTAACCAAACACACTTTCTCTGACGATGATTTTGGATTCCAGTAAGTTTTAAAAAAAGTTACTGTTGCTTCCCCCCACCCTTCCTCCTCTTCCCATTTTTCCAAGAACTCAGTATTGACTTGTGTGCCTGTATTTACCATTTGCTGAAGTCATCCAGTGTATGTTTGGAGTAATGCAGGGGAAGCCTTGTGTCAGTCCCTGTTATGTACCTGTTGTTGCCCCTGCAGTTTTGCTTCTTTGCAGGTTCAGGAAAGCTTCTGCTGTTCTTTTCCTGCCCTGAGGTCCAAATCTTCACAAGCTCTGTTTCTTTCCCTCCGCTGCCATGGCCCTTGCGTGAGATCCTCAGGCTCTTGCTCAGCAGCAGCCTTTCCCCATTTCTTAAAAGAAATTTGTGCCCTACACATGAAGTAGCTCGTTCGGTCTGACCCAATGCAGGAGGCTTGTGAATTCTTATTCATAGATGTCATTACACCAATAAAATAGGCTGGTTTCCTCTAGCCAGTTGTTTTTTGTGCAAGAGGTGTGTTTCAGCTCAAACTTAAATCTTTTTGTGTTCTCTTTTGAATTCAGTTTTGCAATAGCTGTCAGATCTCTGCAACAACTTCTATGGGAATTTTGCTTAAAAAAGAACAGGGGAAACTGAGGACTTAATTATGAATTGTTTATTAATGCAGTTCACTGTAAATCTGAAATGTTCTTGGATTAATCAGTGGCATGCTTTCGTTCTCTCTCAGTTTTTTATTTTACTCCATAAATACCACACTTTAATTGCATCCATTTCTGCTCTTTCTTTTTTTTTTTTTTTTTTTTTTTAATTTTTTTTCCAATGAAGTCTGAGTGTAGTGTTTAAATTTAACTTTCTCTCCCTTCACGCTCCAGGAAGATACGTTTTGCACTCATCTCTTTCTTTGGCAGACTTCTATTGGCAGGAAGGCCGTTCCCTCTATGTGGAATATTAACAAAAGCAGTCACGTTACATGTTCATTTGTGGCTCCTATCTTACTAATAGACTCCAATTTCTCTCAGCTGTTGGATACACGCTGTCAGTTCAGCGTTTTATTTCCAATTTGATCCTGCCAAACTCAACGGTACACTCCCACAACAGCCATTCAGTGGCTCTGATGTAGACTGGGAATTTTGTCTTTTGTTGATGTTCTACATGACTGATTTGCCAGATCTGACAAGCAAACAGGAGCTGGTTCTTCCTAGAAGCTCTCAATGTTCTTTAATACACAAAGGAGTTTCTTATATACAGCAGTACGGAGGTTAACACAAGTAACAGAACAACAAATTCTACTAAAAGCTTGAAAGATTACAGTCTATCCCAGCCACATATTCCTGCCATAATTTAGCACTTTCTGGCATTTCTGGATGCTTCTTTTAGCCATTTCAGCTCCCTAGTGTGAAATCACTGGACTTATCCCTGAATTAGCAGATTGTCTTGGCTCTTAAAGGGTTTAGGAGACATTACAAAGGATGAGGTGGGATTCGATGGCCCAGGAGCAGAGATGGGGAAAAGGAAAGGCCAAACTGTAGACAGAAGTCACTGGATTGTGTCAACTGTCTGCAATGCCTTGCTCTTAAATTGCTTTTTAAAAGATACTCTGCCTACATTGTTTCTATTGTGCAAAATATGCAGCTGGCAGCCTTCTAGATAATGGCTCACAAGGAAAGCTAAAATCATTTTCAGCAATGCAAAATATCGACTGGGACTAGTTTGTCTTACCAGGCTGGCCTAGTGTCCTAAGAGTAGGCATGTTCTTATTGAGAGCAACTAGACGAAGGTTACAGTGCTCATTTCGTTGAGGACAAGCTAGTTGAACTAAGTCCTTCAGACTGCCTTTGGCACCTCATGTGGGGATCACACGTGCAGTACGAGTGAGTCTGCTTCTTCACTGAGCCTGCCTTTACCTGCTTGATAACTTCAGTTTGGAAGATCAGTCACCCAGCACAATACATGTTACACAAATGTACCAAAGGCGCTTTAGTGCTTATATAACTCTAGGAGGGAGGTGGAAAGAAATCTCGTATGGATGGGAAGAGAAGTGTGATCTGCCATGAATGAATGATTAAAGGAATTGCCTTTAAGCGTAGAACAATGAAGGCTGGAAAAGACCTCTCGGTCATCTAATCCATCCATCTACCTACCACCAATATTGCCACTAAACTATGTCCCTAAAATGAAATGATCGAGGCCTTTTCACACCTTACATGACTAATGCATCTGTCATATCAACTCACCATCATAAAGAAAATCATGGATATTCCACATAGCAACACAGTAGTGAGTGAATGTGCATCACCTTTCTAATGGCATTTTTGGCATTTTTGTCATTACTTTCAAACAGCCTCAGTGATTTTCACTTTTGCTCTCACGTACCTGAGTGCCTTTGCCTCTTCAGATCTGTAAACCATCATCAGCACATCACGTCTGTGTTTGCAGAACAGACCACACATCTCCTCCTGTTTGTTTTCTCCTGCTCACTGGCAGTGACGTGAGTGCCTGGGACTCCTGCTGTCAGAAGTTGCATCCCTGGCAGGTAGATTCAAGCTTGCCAATGGATAGCTGGGTGGCTGCCTTTGGACTATTACCAAACCAAAATGACTAATGCGTGGTAGGAGCCAGAGCAAGCTGCATCAGAGCCAGCTCCTCCTGTGCTGCAGAACTTCCCACAGGGACCCATAGAGGCACGGGGTGAGGAAGACTTCCTAGCTTTGTCCTCTGCTGTCAATCCAGGTCTGCAGGTCCATATTTGCCCCTCCTCCTCTGAAAGGACAGGCAGATTTCACAACTTGTGTTACAACTATTTCAGAAATTCCACAGTAGGGGACATAGGGAAATGCCACAGTATTTTTCCTTATGGATTTCTCCTCGGAAATGGTAGGGAAATCCCCTAGTTCTTACAGACAAGGGCACGGCTCCTCCAGTTCCAACTTCTCCAGCTGTTGGAGCATGAAAGAGTTACGACAGCTGCCCTCATCTCTTTGCCCTTTATCTGTCTTGTTTACTTGCTGACTGATTGCAATGCAGAAGTTTTACAACGCATCTGAAGCCAGCAGAGTTTTTTTAAAGGGGATTCCCATCCTATGGATTGAATGCAATTGTGGATAGTCTCCTTAAGTGTTGTTGGAGTGGAGAAGAGGAGGGAAAAGGTTTGTGACATGATTTCTCTCTGTTGCCACTGTAAACAGTTCTCTGTAAATCCTGGGTAATGTAGAGAAACTGAGCCTCTTTCCATACAAAATGGTTGGTCAAAGTCCAACTATTAGGTTTATAGGGCTTTTGTGGAATATAATATAAACGTTTCTCTGGTTTCCTCTTGCAACCTCAACGAAAGAGAGCAGTGGCCTTTTGTGGGACAAGATGTCCTCCAGGTATACACAGCTCTGGCACTGTGCATTGGTCTGTTCTCTTGTAGGAGAAAAGAGGCTGTTTCATTCTGAAGAATTTTTCTCCATCGCTCAGAGCCAAAGCAGATCAGGTTGTCTGATTACACAAAAACCACATCTATAGCCATGAATGAGGTTGCAGAATTAAATAACAAAATCTGTGTTGAGCAGCATAAATACGTGCTGTTGTTTCTTTGGGGGGTGTACAACCAAGATCTTCAAAAGGGCCTTGTCCTCAGCATGGGAGATTCAATAGGTCTTACTTAAATCATGTGTCAGAGCCGCTGATCAAGTGTCTGTACCTAAGCCTGAAGTCCCTTGTGTGTTTGGAAAGGCATATATGAAATAGGGAATGAAAGGGCTGCGATTATGACAGTCTTCTGTGAAACAGAGGAACAGAACAGGGGAAGGAAAAGCCCTCAGTAAATGCATGGTTTTAAAACAACAAATAAACGCATAAAAAATAACAAACACATGTTCAAACAATGCTATTCTCTGACAAATAATTTTTCTGAGAAAATTAACAATCAAATCTGAAAATCCTGAACCAGATATGACTATGGTTATTAGCCATATCCTTTGGGCTATTTCAAAATTGAACGAGGGAAAGAGCAAATTCCTCAACTCTTACAACTTCTGTTACTCACACTGCGATCAAAGGAACAAGAATGGAGCTGCTGCATATCTGAGCACCAGCAAGAGCAAATTCAAATTTATCTCTGATGAGGTGGCAAGTAGGAGACCAATATCGTGATGCACAGTTTGATTCTCCTAAATTAGGTGACACACTTTCTGGTAGATGCAAACACCAGAGCCTGTGAGGAAGCGCTTCTTTCTTACACACACCTGAACTTCCTGTCAGCCGCCAACATCCTGTTTCTGTCACTGTCAGAGCCACTTTGCACTTTACAGTCAGATGAGACCAGTGCAGGCCAGGTGGCATTATGTGATGGGTCACTGTGCAGTGAATAAGCCTTTGTTCTGAAATTAAGGCTCTTGACTGGGGAGAGCTTACATTGTGTCAGCCTGATGTGTGCACAGTCTAGTCCTGCCCTCGCTGCCGCTGTGATCAATAGCAAAACTCTTCCAACTTTGGCAAAAACAGATTAGTGGAAATTCACTAAAGTATGTGCTTCTTGAAAAATTCTCCTCTTTGTGTTTTTGCTCCTGGGCGGAGCAGAAATTATTTTATTCTTTTACTTATTTTGAGGTCGGAGCAATTGCTTCCAACTAGACTCAGAGCTACAAAAGGAAGAGGTTTGAGTCCATTTTGCCTCACTCCAAGGTTTTGTAGTGGAGGGGAAGAAGCTTTGCTCTGGGGAGGTGATGCAGGGTCTGTGCAAAAAGCTGAACTGGGCAGGTGTGCAACACACAGCTAGATTGCCTTCGGAGTCTGAGAAATCCTGTGGTTTAGACCTTGCTCCAGAATCATTGCTGGAATTTACGTCATTCACAGTTTAAT